ATCACTATTCCATTTTGGAACCCATTGCCATATCAATTTATGAAAAATTTCAGTACTGTGTTTTCAATATTTTCTTAAATATGGCCAAACTACTATAGAAGTTGTATGGCTGCTACCAGAAAGAGCCAAGCAATTTCAACGAATTTTATCAAACACATTGGCCCTACTAATATATTCGCTTGTGTGAAATTTCAATACCAAAGCTTTTATAATTTCTAAGATATAGTCAAATAAATTTTGAAGTTGTATGACAGCTACCCGAACTAGTCACATCCAATTCCGATCACATCCAATTTAAATAGGATTCTGACATTTACTACAATAAATCATTTGTGAAAATTTGGCGTACTTAGCTCAATTAGTTTTTGAGTTATCGTTGGGACGGACGGACGGAAGGACAGACAAAACTAAATCGACTCAGAATTCGACGCTGATCAAAAACATACACTTGAGTCTATATCTCAGACAATACTGGTATGTGCTAGATAATTCTTCTATTTTTAATCCATTCAAAGATTTCTTTGTATTTTACTATTCTTTTACGATATTCTTTGATTTAATTTCTGGAGCAGCTATTTAAATAATAAAAAATGTTGGCGTGCGCTGTTCTTTCTTGTTTCGAATGTCATATATTTCATCAAAAATGGTTAGATTTATTTCTTTAATCTCTTTAAGTAATTTTTTGAATATCACACTATCAGAAGTTTTAATTAGATGGGGAAAAAATTGTTTTTTGTAAGTTTGAAGCAGCTATTTAAATAATAAAAAATGTTGGCGTGCACTGTTCTTTCTTGTTTCGAATGTCATATATTTCATCAAAAATTATTTCTTTAATCTCTTTAAGTAATTTTTTGAATATCACACTATCAGAAGCTTTAATTAGATGGGGAAAAAATTGCTTTCTGTAAGTTTGAAGATTATACCTTCAGTCCTAAAAGTATAACCCTACCTAACTGTCCTAAAGAGTTTAAATTTATTTAATATAACAGAAGTTTTGGAGTTATTGAATATTTAAAAAAATATTTTGCTTTATATCTCCAATTTCATTAGTTTAATGAGATGAAAATTAGTAAAAATGGACTTGATTAAAAGCAAGAATTTTTTTTTCGGTTAATTACGCGCATAAGAATATCTATCAAAAAAACTTTTTCGCTTTTTTTCATGCATTTTATTTAAATTTAAATTAAGCATTTGTCAAAACAATAACCAATTCATTTTCAATGGCTAACTTTATTAAATTTATTTTTAGAAAAAACTTATCAAAATGGAATTGATAAGTTTTTTCCAAAATTGAATATTTGTCCTACTTTAAATTTATACTTGATTCATTTTTTACTGCTTATATTTAAGAGCTACTGAATTGTAAATTTTGTATTTTTTTTTTTTTCCTTTTTTCACTCCTAGAAGGAGCATAGGGCTAGTGCATGATTTCTCATGCAATAGTTTCATAGCGTCATAGAGTTTAACTAGGTGGGTGACTAGCCTGCCGTAGTTTTTTATTTATATAAATTATTTGACGTTATTAATATTTACTGTTTATTTTTCTTAGTTTTTTTTTTAATATCGAATATTACGAATATTTGAAAACTACTTGTATAATATTTATTAGTATTGTATATTAAGTTATAATAATAATATTGAATATAATTTTTATAGTGTCCTGACCGGGGTTTGAACCCGAGACCCTTCGGTTAAAGGACCGGTGCCATAACCACTGCACCAATGGTCAGATAAATTTTGTATAATTTTAATAAATGAAAGGCTACATATGTATTTGATATAAAGTACTTGTGTTTATGCAAATAAATCTAGAACTAAGACCTGAATGACTGCTTGTTGAAAGCATGTACCTACATAACTTATAGCTGTCGAACAAAAAGTAAATGCATATCACAATTGAACCTGAAAAAAAAAATGATTTCGAAATGCCGGGAAGGGGTATACGTAAATATTTTATTCAAGAGATAATATAATGCCTTTGTTAGTATTTATTTTTTTAATAAATTTGATCTTTCTTTCTTTGACGGTGTCAAAGAACCACTTTTTGGGAATGCACTAAAATTTTTGGGAATGTACTAAAACTTAGAAATTCCCATGCTTAGAACTAAAAAGCAATTGAAAAAATTTGTTGTAAAAAATATAGAAAAAAATTCTTAACAATTAACCTAACAACAATCTGCAAGTTAATATGATTGAGTAATATAAATTTATTTTTTTATGCAATGTTATTCAACAATTTTCTTTTATCGTCTGTCGTTATTTTTCATGTCTTTGAATAGAATTTTGATTATGATTACTTTATGAACATTTTCGGACGTTTGTAAAGATGAGTTCGGTGTTGCAGTAAATCATAAAAATGTTGAGAAATAAAACAATTTTTTTTTTCATTGAGATAATCTTCATAAATTGCTTTTGCAATAGTATCCATAAAACTAAAAACGTCGATTCCTGTTTTTAAAATAAATATAGGTTTTAACCTATAGCCCGTTTCGCCATTATCTCTTAACTCAACTGTAAATGAATAACGGACATTGAGTTTTTTACGAGCCCAATCGCGACCAAGACCAAATAAGTGTTTAATCGGCTTTTCCAAAAGTTTATATTTGCATTTTCTTGATCCAGTTGTTGTGTTAATTTTCTATAAATTAAAATAAAAAAATTTATTTAATAAATCAGAACGCTCAAAAATCAAAAATAAGCTTTTAAAATTTACAGCAACAGCTTCTTTAGCGACATCACACAATCTTTCTTTTCCTTCTATTGGTGCATTATATGACCACAAATATCGAATTTCTTGTCCGTAACTATGAAATGCGACGTAAGCTTTTATATAATTTTTTTGTGGTATTAAGAAATCTCTTATAGCTTTTGTTTCACTTTCAGAAAATGGTGAAACACCTTTATAATTTCTACCACATGGATCCATATTAATTTGGTTTTTATCCCAGCCGGTACTAAAATTACGATTTAAATCAACTCCAATGCAATTTGAGTCCAAAATTCTTTGACGATTTTTCCGCCACATGCGGTTTTCTCTACTAGTGCGAGAAAAAACATAGCCATCCGGATTTGCTAACGGTAAAATGAGCCTCAAAAAATTTTTGTTTATAAAAATATGTAAGTGATAAAGAAATCATGTAAAAATTGGATATATTAATTAAAATACTAAAATACCATGTTTTATTTGTCATATAATGAGGCAATGTATCCCATTCATTTACTAATGTATTGATGAAAACCAAAACAGCATTTGAAGATATCCATTCATTAGCATGTAATCCGCTCTCAATAAAAATTCTGTCATATGTAATACTTTCGAGCCGTGATATCCTATAAATTTTAGTATTATTGTTTTATATTGATTTCCTAGAAATATATGCGTATTTAAATCATTACTTTATCACGAGCAATGCGCGGTTTTGAGCGGTAAGTCCGATATTAATAACTTTAACAAGATGAGGATAATCTCGTCGTAATTGGTAAAGAAAGGAAACAATTTGCTCATATTCACTATAAATGTCCAATTTTGTTTCTAAAAATATCAAGTTTTTTTTATGAATCAATTTTTTTTTTCTTTTTTCTGTATTTTCATACCCAATATTTCTGAAAAATTCTTATATAACTCCACTTTATTGTTATCAAAAGTATTAAGAACTTTATTAGGAATGAATTGTTGCTTGTAATTCGATAGTGCTCTAAATTTTGGCAGTATTTCCATTCTCGAACTTATGATTTTTTATCTTCACTAAGTAAGACGTGTGTTGAATTGATATTTCCGTTTTATAATTACTCGATTCAATAATGTTGCATTTTATTTTGCATAAGTAGAAAAAAGTTGAATTTAACTAGGAATTTTCTTTAAATGACCATATTAATTTAGTTTATTAAATACAAACATTCCTGAAAAATTTTTCATCTACTTGAAGTTCGAAGTAGAAACTATAAAATTTTTATAAAACAGGACTACTTTAATTAAATAAATTTTACAATAAATTATGTGGAACTATTATAACTTTTTTTTAGAGTATTGATTTAGAGTATTTTTGTAGAGTTTAATTCATTTCCATATTAAAATCTTTCGAAAACAAGTTTTTGCCAAATTAAAAAATTTGTATCACGCAGGAATATAAAAATATAAAATATTTTGTTGACTTTTTACTTTTCTATCTAGAGAAGCAAAACGCAATAAAAGCAAGGAAATTCGAATAGATTCAATGTTTGAATCTTTGTTAATTCTTAATTAATTCTCCACAATAAAAAAAGTGTAAACAAACTATTTTTAGCTACATGTAGGTTTGTCGGTCTGTCTGTATTTGCAATCATGTATCTCAATTTGAGCTGAACCGATTTCAATGAAAAATTTTACCTGAGTTTTTGCCTATGTCAAGGATTGATCAACTTTTTGTTTCTTGAGATGTGTCAGACGAGAGGACCTCAATCGATTAACTTGAAATTTTTTATAAAGGCTTCGTCTGACAGTATATACAACAAGCTATCTTTCTTTACGGGCAAATCAGGTATCTGCTCCGATACCTGAGATAAGGTATTTAAGTTCAAGGTGTTCAGGGTGTTAAAACAATAAACTGAATAATTTTTGGGATAAGAACTCGAAAATCGCACTTCCAATAGCGATTAACATTTTTTATCATATCTAAAGAACTAATTGATCGAATTTATTGAAATTAAACTTTCAAAGTCTGTTTGCTACTGGAAGTAACTGATAAGTCTTACAGGGAGTTTGGATGGTTTAAATTGAAACTCTACCAAGAGACAAATTTGTATTTTTTCTAAGTATGGTAATTAAAGGCTTCTTAACCTTAAGAAAACCGTTAAAGTTTGAAAGAAATGTTTAAAGAACATTTTTGTTATTTTATACAAAACTTTCGCTAAATAAGACAATACATATTGCGGTCGCCTATGTGCTGGCCACACCAAATTTTTTTTTGTAAATTTTATGTTTGATGAAATTGCTAATAGAATATTTTATTTTTTCTTTTCAGACATTTCGCCATGGATTTCCACATTCGCCCACAGCCCTAGCATATGACTCTGTGCAAAAATTATTAGTAATTGGTGACAAATCTGGATCACTTAGAATGTATCCTTTTTTAAAATTATTAATCAAGTAACATTGTCCGGTTACAATGGCTTTATTTAAATTGTACATTAATATACAGTTTCTTATACATGGTCTTTCGCATAACGTGGAAAAAAATTTCAGGACTGATAACTCTATGCTGTACGGTTCCAAAGTTATAAGCATTTATTTATATGCTGATAAGTCTTACAGTTGGTGTCCCCCGGACACCAACCAACCCACCACACCTTTCTACTCATACAATTTTTTGCTGGAAATTGATCAAAGAATCATTACTGAAATTATTTGCCACCTTATGCGAAACATCCTTTATAGTGGAAAATTTCAAAAATTGAGTGTTAATCAGAAAAATTTAACTCGCATAAAGCACAAATTTTATTCAAATATTATGAAAATATTTTTAATATCCGAATTTTGATTTCAAATAAATTTTAATTACCACACGCCATAAAATCATATAAAATTAAATAACATGAAATATAACAGATACATACGAAAATAATACAACCATGTCGCTAATGCCATTATATATCTATCAGGCCTCCAAGCTGAAAATAATTGCCGAAATTTTGAATAAAAAAAAATTCAAAAACAATTCTTAATGTTTTATGCTTTCGAAGTATGCCGATTGAAATATTTTTTTATTTTTTTTGTGAAATTTTTGAGTATTCTTTATGAATCTCATTTTATTTAGTACAGTTATTATTTTATTTTTAAACTCTTTTATTTAGATTATAATTATTATTTTTTTACTTTTTTCTTCAATTTATTTTTAAACTCTATTTCTTATTGAAAAATTTTACTCTGTAATTAAGTACCCTCTCATTTGGAAGACAAGAAAGGTTGTTTGAATTAAATTTTAAACAATTTTTTTGTTTCAAATTTTAAATTTCAAAAAATATGTAGAACCAGTAGAGTCAAAAATATTGACCAGTTTCATTCACACAAATAAATTCCGACGCATCTTCCATTTAAACTCCATATAAATTTGGAATTTATTTTTGATTTGCTCTCTGAGCTTGATGGTCTGATAGTAACGCATATATATGGCATTAATATAGCAATAGATACATTATAGATAAAAACCTATACTACGCCAATTAACTTTTAATTTTAAAACAAAATATTTTTTGTCACCAATCATTTCACTTTGTTTACTTTTTTAAATAAATATAAATCTCTTTTTTACCACTTCTCCAAAAAATTTTTGAAAAATAATGCTTATTACTTTCACTCTGTCCGTCTGTCCTTGGACCCGTGTAATAAATTTGTACACTCTTAAAGATAGAAAGCTGAATTTTTATTTGTACAAGAAACTTATTTCCGTAGAAGAAAATTTTAATCCCCTCTCACCTAAGAGTTATAGCTCTCCAAACCCTAAAAATACCATTTTTAAATTTTATTTTTATAGCAAAACCATAAACATTTTTCAAATTTTCCAAGCCCAGAATAGCAGTGGTTTGTTTCTTCTAAAGATCCATACCATATTTGAAGTTTAAAAAAAAGTCACCCTTATCTAAAATCCGTTTTTCCCAAAGTTTTGATAACGCTTTTCTTCTTGACCGCACGTTGTATGAGTTTGAAATTAGCAGCCTTTAGACACTAATAAATAGTTAATTTCGTTATAAGAAAATTTTTCCACACTTAAGCTATTACTTCTCGAAATTTCTAAAATTTGTATTTTTGACACGTTTTATTTCCGAAACTGCAAGCTTTTTCAAATTTCTATAAATACAGAAAGTTAACATGTGCTAAGAAAAAATGTGATTATTTTTCTTAACTGACGCAATTAACTCTTGAATTCGAGTATTATGTTAACACCTTTTTAATTTTTTTTTGTTTTATTTCAAAGATAACATATACATTGTTCCCCTGCTGCATACACTTAAATAATGTAATTGATTGTTTTTAAAAGTATCGTTTTTATCTGTTGAAGGGAAAAGAACTACTTTACAAACCATAGGTTTGATCAACTTTATTTAAATTCATGGTTGCAACGACTTTTGCCTGGTGAATCATAAATTTAAATAAAGATCTTCGCAAACTATAATTTGTTGAATATTTCAATTAGAAGTTGCGTATAATTTATTTTCTTCCTTTATTCATAACTTTCCGAAAAATTAAATTTTTTAAATACCCCTTAGAGTATAGAGAGTAATAAGAGGAAGAACAACAACTACAAGATTATATCACTTGTATATTTGTATAGTGTTACAATAAAATATTTTAAGTTCAGTTAAAAATATTTTGATCTTACATCTTACTTTTTTTACAATCCAAATTGTGGAAAACCTAAAAAAATGTTAATAGAAACGCTTAATCTGAAATTATTAAAATTTATGTCGAATGGGCTCATAGCATTTACTTATAATAAAACTCGTGAATTGATATTTCTCGTAAATTTAATATTTTTGCGTTATATATTTCGAAGTAGTTTTCATTGATAAGAAGCTCATATTAATGAAATATTTTATTAACTCATCATATATTTTTTAAGTTCAGGACGCTTAAGATTTTTTGTGTTGGAACATCATTTTACTATAAGTACAAACGTAAGGTTTCTTGGTTTAAAGCTATTAAAAGTGATTTTCCAAAAATAATTAATTACGACAATTTACATAATACGTGGTAATAAACTAAAATTAGTCTTACTTGATTGTTACATTTATAAATAAATATATGTAGGTAATGATATGTCTAGTAGATAAATAGAAAAGTTTCAAATGAGTATACAATCATTCGTACAAAATGCTACATCAATTTTTTTCCGTTTAAGTTCAAACTGTCTTAGAAGAATGTTAAATGAAATGAAAAATAGCTTACAAGCACAGATAAATAACGATTTTCCTTAATATAGAAATTTTTCTAATATATACATAAATTAACACACCTCGTATTTCAATTTTAAATTTCTAACTTAACTGATGTCATCCAATATGTTTGGGAAAATATAAATTTATTTGATCTATTTGATCTTGGATCTACTCAATTTTTCTTCAAATTTTCTTCATACATGGTGACAAAAAATTATTTTTTTGCTGCGACAACAGACTTGGACGCCCAGGTGTAGATCTTCATGTAAGACATGAAGGTGATTCAGCATGTGCAGTTATAACAATAGAATTTTTAGTGAATGAAGGTGCTTTAGTTACTGCCACTGCAGATGATACATTACATTTATGGAACTTTCGACAAAAATTTCCACAAGTAGTACAAAGTTTAAAATTTCAAAGAGAAAGGTTAGTATTCGTCTATTTACTTCAAGGTATCCAAAAATTTTTCAGTTATCAACTTTTTTGTGTTTTGCAACACATCTTAATTGAATTAATATTTTGGTACGAAAATATAGAAAATTTCTGTTGGCCAATGAGTTGGCTCAGTTGCAAAATTTATTTCTATAATTCCTGTAACACAATAACACTCTATCGCTAAAAAACATAGTTCCAAGAATTTCATCAAACGGAAAAATTAAAAAAAATATTTAAATTTTCTGTTAAATTTTATATTCAAACTAACTTTACATTTGGAATCTTCCAAATTTGCATTTAGCAAAAAAGCCGATATGACTTTCTAATTCAATAACAAGTAAAAACGTTTCAGTCGGTATAAACCGATTGAATTATACCTTGGACCTTTCGTTATTGTGTAGCAATTACTCGAACCTGTGAAATCATTCTATAGAAACTTCACGGATATGTCTGACCTATAATTGGACATCATGAATCTGACTTTATTATTTTTCCAAATATTTAAAGTTAGCTTTTTGAGTTGTATGGCAAGTACCCGAACCTGTCAAGCAATTCCACTAAAATTTCACAAATATATCTGATCTATAATCGGACACACAACTGCCAAGTTTCATGAATCTGACTTTATTATTTTTCCAAATATTTCAAATTAGCTTCTGGAGATGTATGGCAAGTACCCGAAATTGTCAAGCAATTCCTCTTAAACTTCAGAAATATATTTGACCTATAATTGGACACATGACTGCCAAGTTTAATGAATCTGGCTTTATTATTTTGCCGAATATTAAAAATTTGCTGTTGGAGTTGTTTGGCAGCCACTCGAACCGATGCATTTATCCCATTATAATTTTTAGAGCATGTGTAGAATATAATTGGACACATGTATACAAAATTTCATATTTATAGCTTTATTAGTTTTTGAAATATTTAAAATAATCTCTTTGAGTTGTATGGCAGTTACCCGAACCCGTTGTCCGAATTAGTCCAATAACAATAGGGTTCGTCCTTGGTACAAAAGAAAAAACTTGTGAAAGTTTGGTGTCGATTGCATTATTCGTTTTTGAGTTATTGTACGATCGGACGGACGGACGGACATGTCTAAATCGACGCAGAATTTTACGCTGAGCAAGAATATACATATATATATATATGTCCATATCGCAGATGACTCCTTTAAGTAGTTACAAACTCCATACCAAAGTTAATATACCCTTCACGAAGTGCAGGGTATAAAAATGTAAATTATTCAACTCTCTGAGTGTAACTATAAAATACAATCATTCTTAATTACATCACATTGTGAAATCTCAGCTACAATTAATAAGGAACATACTTTTCAATTACCTAATTAGGAGGAGGCCCGTTAAGTTTCAATATCAATTTGATTATAAACAAGTTTTGAAGTTTTATTTTGAAATTTGCAAACTTTAATTTACATATGTTTTTTTTGCTTTGCATTTTAATGTTTTCGTATTTTTTAGGATTACCTGTATACATTTGCCTATCGGAAGTAAATGGTTATATGTTGGTACCGAAAAAGGAAATATCCATGTTGTACATATAGAAACATTCGCTCTTAGCGGATATGTGATTAATTGGAATAAAGCAATTGAAGTGTAAGTACCTTTCTCCGTTCTTAATCATCTAAAGTAATGCATCTGTCTTGCATCTCAGCAAGACATTTACCGATCTCAGCAAGACATTTATTTCCGAAAAATACATTTACATTCACATCAGACTTTTTTTTCACGATCTAACATTAAAAAATTTTGAAAATAAATCAATAAAATTCAGTTTTATGATTTAAAAAACAATACGAAGAATGAAACTAAAAGAAACGTGTGTACTTGTATGTAACTATTTAATTCTAAAAGATCATAAGTATATCATTAAAATTAGTTTCAAATTAATTTTAAAAGTCCATAAACTGTAACAACTTTTAATTTTAAAAATTGCAAGAACTTAAACTTTAAATAACTTTCAGAAAGTGTCTATTTTGTACATTTTTTTTATATTGATTTTAAATATTATTTTTGTTAAGACGTAAAATTCAAGTTATACCACTTGTCTTCTTTCTCTTAATATCTATAACAATTTTTTTAAAGTTACATTTACTTCTCATCCTTTCCATTTTTACTATCAACATCATATTGTCACCATTATCCTTGCAGATATAAAAAGTTTATCTAATCTTAAGGTTATAATAGAAACATTAAATTACATCATTGTATGTATAAAAAAATTATACAAGAAAAATATTCGCAAATGAATATTTTTCTACAACGTAAATGTTTTCTTCCCAATTCTTTTTCATAAAATTAAAGATAAGTTAATGATGTTCTTGATCAAAAGTTGATAATAATATTGATGATAAAGATTATGTGAATAACGATAATAATGAATAAAGGTACCTAAATAAAGGTTCTGATATATGCGTAGTTATATTAAATAAAAAGATATATGTAAAATCATTCTTCTTATAATAAAAAACGCATTATAAATCCATAATATATTACATAGGTATAAATATGCCAGAAAACTCATAAATATAATATGTATGATGTATGCACAACATCTATCTATTTATGTTAGCTTACAATACAAAATATACGTAAGGTAGTAAACGGGTCGAATTGAATTTTGTTTTTTAGTTTATGAAATATTTTCAAAATAAGAAAAAAGGGAATCGCAAGACTAATATAAATTTTACTAAAGGTATAGGTACTGTATAAAATGATGTCGTTTCAGGTATACAGTGGTGAACATTTTATGTCTGGACATGCAATCATCTTCTGACATGCAATTATCGAACTGACTTGCCACTTTTCCTTAACGTTTGCAAATATCGATGATGCGAAAGATATCATATATAGCATCTTTTATGGTTTATTTAGTTTTGATTTTAACAATCTCGCGATGTTAAAAACGATGACCAACCGCAAGGCGTATTTTATATTTAGGAAAAAATGTTACACGAGATTATGAAATTTTAAGGACATTAGTAAACTCTTAAATGATATAACCAATGTAAAAAATGTTATTTTGGTTCTTAGTAAAGGCTTTCTTTTGGCAATCCGAGTCCTCTAAAAATTTTGTCAGATAGTTCAAGTAGTAATTAAAAATCAAACATTAAATTTGAAGAAATTCTATCAGTTAGTTTATAAATTTTTAGTATTTTCGTTTTGCAAAATATTTTACGCCTAAAACAATAGCTTTCACACTAGTTTGGAGATGTCCCAGTACTATGCGTTTACTTTTTTGAAATACATTTTTATCTGAATCCTTGCAGAATTCACAAAAAATGTATCAGATGGTTTATTGGCAAGCTTTTTCAAATTTCTATAAAAGTAGAAAGCTAACGGTAAATGTCATATCAACATAAAATATTATTTATCTTAATTCACTTAATTACAAATACAGACTTGTACTATAAGAGAGTGATAGTTCACAGATAACGAAGGAAGAGATCTACTTTTCTCAAATTTTTAGTTAAGAAAAAAGTTTAAAATTCAATCTTCTTTCATTTTATTAGTGCTAACAATTCAATAATTTTGCTTAAAACAACCTTAAAACCTTCAGTCAAAAAAAATTTCCAGACTGTTCGTTTCTTTAAGATTTCAATAAATGCTACTAAAAAAAAATTTAAATCTAATAGTATTTTTTTTGAAATATTGAGTTAATTTTTGTGTATTTTTACAAATTTCAGAAAATGGACTTTGATATTAATCATTTTGCTAATTATGTATGATTTGTTTCCCATTTATCTGCATAATTACGTTTTCACAATTTTTACCGACCGTATTATGTAAACAATAGGTAGGTTATGTGATGGCAACAAATTTTGCATATCGAGTTTTCGGTGGGAATGTACTTCTCCATAGTAGGGAAGTGTAAGTAAACTATTTTTAGCAACCTGTCGGTCCGTCGGTCTGTCGGTCTGTCGGTCTGTCGGTCTGTGTGTGCACGCGTGTATCTCAAGTTCGGCTGAACCGATTTTGATGAAATTTTATATGTAAGTTTATTTCCACCATGGCACAAATTTATCAACTTTTGGGATATATCAGGCCTCGGGAACTGCACTTTTTAGCGGGCCTGTTTTACATTTTTGAACATTTTGAAGAAAGTATTCAACCGATTTACTTGAAATTTCATATATAAGCTTTGCTCGATCGTCCGCGAAAATTCCTATGTTTTGGAAGAAATGAGGCATCGGAAACTAGGCGTTTACTACGGGCCAAATATACATTTTTGTGTATATAAAGAGAAATAATCAACCGATTTCATTGAAATTTAATATATGAATTCCTCGTATCAAAACAATGAACATATAAATTTTTTGGAAAGATCAGGGCTCGAAAACTGATTTGCGAGCCGATTTCACATTTTTCACCAGTTTGAAGAAAATATTTAACCGATTTACTTGAAATTTCATATATGAGCTTTGTTCGACCGTCCGCGAAAATTCCTAACTTTTGGAAGAAATCAGGCGTCAGCAACTGGACGTTTACTACGGGCCAAATATACATTTTTGTGTATATAAAGAGAAATAATCAACCAATTTTATTGAAATTTAATATTTGAATTGATCGTATTAAAGCAATGAACATGTAAATTTTTTGGAAAGATCAGGCATCGGCAACTAGACGTTTACTACGGGCCAAATATACATTTTTGTGAATATAAAGAGAAATTACCAACCGATTTCATTCAAATTTAATATATGAATCCCTCGTATTAAAACAATGAGCATATAAATTTTTTGGTAACATCAGGGCTCGAAAACTGAATTGCGGGCCGATTTTACATTTTTCACCATATCTACAGAACGAATTGATGAAATTTGATATTTGAGTTCTGGGCATTACCAAAACTAACTGGTGGGCATTTCAGGGAATTCGGATAGCACAAAACGAAACTGTACTAAGAGCCAAATTTACATTTTTCTAGGTATGTTAACTATAAGCTTACAAATGTCCTTAAAATTGGAAAGAAGTACTTAACAGATATTTTTTTAATATTCTGTAACACTTTCACTCAACTAGACAATACACAATGCGGTCGGTTATGTACTTGCCACATCAGATTTTTTTTATGTTACGTTTTTATAATAGACGACAATTCCTAACGATGCATTTTTTATAATAATTATAAAATTAATTAAAACAAAAATTAAAAAAATTATAAAACTTAAAGTCAAACTTAAGTTCTAACATAAAATCTAACTTTATTTGTATTAAATTTGTCTTATTTAAGAATACACGAATTCTAGACAAAAATTTTAACAGCAAATTTTTTTTATTCAGCGTATTATTATTTTTTGATCTAAATTCTTTCACATTTGTAGGTTGACATTGTGGCTCAAAAATATATTTAATCAAACTTTCAATCATAACTTGAAATATGTATTTGAATTGTTGATATGTTGCTCAGAACACTCCAAATTACGTCCAGTTGTTGACACCTGATTTCTTTCAAAAGTTAGGAGGTTTCGTGTGCGGTCGAATGAAACTTATATATTAAATTTCAAGTAAATCTGTTGAATACTTTTTACAAAATGATCAAAAATTTCGAAGTAAACTTACATATAAAATTTCATCAAAATCGGTTCAGTTGAACTTGAGATATACGCGTACTTACAAAGACCGACAGATCAACAGACCGACGGACCAACAGACCGACAGGTTGCTAAAAATAGTTTATTTACACTTCCCTACCATAAAGAAGTGCGTTCTCACCGAAAACTCGATAAGCAAAATTTGTTGCCATCACATAACCTACCTTATTGTATGCATAATGCTGTCGGTAAAAATGTTCGATTTTACTTACTTTTACGAGTATACAAAAAAACCTAACTTTTTTAATGTAATTTTGCTAAAAATACACTCGCAAATTTAACATATGCATTCGCAAAAAAAGAAGAGTCCATATTTTTGTTTTGTCAAGCTTCAATCATTGTATTAAAATCTCTTTAAAATTTTTTTCCTATGAATGAAAGTAATTTAAATTATATGGTAGGTTTGTTTTTAAAAACCGTATTTTTACTTGTTAAAGGGAAGAGTGCTTCTTTACAAATCATTGGTTGAGCCAACTCTATTAATAGTTCTATAGTTTTTGTAGGAGTTATTTAGAAAAATCTTAAGATATTCCGCTAAATTTGTAATTTAGTGTTTTACAGAATATGTATTTATGCTAAAGGGAGTTTTACGTTAAAAATAAATGTTTATAACTACATATAAATAAAAATATCAAATTTAATTGAATAAATAGAATTGAAAAAGATTGTATAAGTTCTTTAAACTGATTTTTGTGCTATTTCCATATGATAATTAATTAATTTTAATTTACATACATTGATACATAAATATAAATTTTACTATTTTTCAAATAATAGCTATTAGAAATTTCCGATTCCATAAAAATATTTCTTATTACCAATAAAAATTATTACGGGTAATATTCTTAAAATATTATAATTTGTGAATATGTATGAAAATTTATCGAAACATTATACATACACATATATATATATGTAAATAATTCTAAACGATAATATTAAATCTATTTACTGTCAATTCCATAATTTTTTTTTAAATTAAAATATGTGCATATATGTATATATATTTTTTTTAAATTCATGTGCATGTATGTACTTTGTAAGTATAAAATTTTTTTAAAGACTATTTTTATTAATAATCTACCGGAAGGAAATTGTCATTTCCAATGAACTGTATTCAAAATTTAATGGAATAATGAACAACAGTATAGGTAAACTTTTAAGGTTTTCAAGAAATTTTAAAATTTTAACATTAAATATTCAGATAACAAATTAGAATTTTGTTTTCCAAAAAAGTTATAATCTTACTGAAAATTCCAATTTAGACACTAAAACTTCATACTGCACAATGAATAAATATTACTTAATACATCAGTGGAAATCTTTGGGGATCAATTAAAATGTTTGGGAAAAAATTTCTATTAAACGACAGATAAATCACATGTGCTAAACGTTTCATAAAAGCTTTTTGTTATTGTTAAATAAAAACTTAAAGTAATTGTGCCAATGTATTTTTGTTTTTTAACTTTTAATCGTCTTGATTGTAAAGCATATAATTGTAATAAATTTTTTACAAACCCATAAAATATGTATGTATGTAAAAACTAGACCTAAAAATTGAACTTTTATTTATCAGGGTAAATAAAAGTTCAATTTTTAAAGTTTGATTCATAACAATACCGACCTGATTTACTTGAAATATTGTACTATGACTCCAACTACATATATTATACCTAATTCTTGAAAGGATATGACCATTGTAAACAAGTTTAGCCGTCTCTTTCGGAATACCTCCCGCATTTTTGATAGCTATACTAATAGGGATTGTTTTTTTATTTATATATTCAATATGTTAGGTTTAATTTTCTAATTGTGATTAAAGTTTCTAATTATGTAGGTATATATTATTGTCTTAATTATGTAAATTTATATTAAAAATAATGATTCTTGTTAAAAACTTTAAGAAACCATAAAATGTAGTATTTCGCCGATCTAAACTATTTGTTACTGTTTTTATAAAATTTATTGGCTTAATTTGACCTTGTACATGCTACTTTCAATATTATTTTTTTATTTTTATTTGTTTATTATTTTGTTGTCTGATTCGAACTATTTGTGGATTTTTAAACCAACATTAAAAAAATCGAAGACCGTAACTCCAAAAAATTGAAAATGTATAATAAGAAAATTAACAATAATAGACTTATTCTACAGGTAATGATGTGTTGATATTTCAATTAATTTTCATTAGATCGTCGTATAATTTTTGATATTTTTCTTAAATTCAGTGAACAAGTTGCATCGTATATCTGAAATATTGAATATATCTTGAAACAATGATTTATCATTGTGAAACAGGTACATCGTACATCTAAAGAATTACTACATACATATTGCGGTTTATTAAATATTCTTTGCCGTGCGAAATTTTTATATATTTGCCATTGCAACAAAAAAAAGTTTGTTTACTGTCAATATAGTTTTAACATTTAATCATTCAAACATTTAATACCTTTTTTTTTAATAATATGCAAGAATACATATCAAAATTTACCAGGTTTTTTTATCCGATTCAATTTCGTTAAATGTATCGAAATTAACCGAAAATCCTTGTCATCTATAGTTCTTTCTTTTTGATTTTTTAATTACTCTTTTGTTATTGAAATGATGAGTTATAAAGAATGAATTATGAGAAAAATAGTTGTTTAAATACTTTATTTTGCAATTGAAATTTAATTTTGTTGTTTTTAATTTATTGAAATTTTAAAATTTTTTGAAGTACATACATACATAATGCATCTCAATGAAATTTACTCTAAAATAAATCCGGCTAAATTGCAAATTCCTAAATACATCATTGATATGCATATTAAAAGAATTTCCGAAAAGAAATAGTTATTTTTCTAAGAGTTAAATAGCTCCCCTGTTTTCCGGTGCCCATTGCAAATGTTTACTTTGCATATATGGTAGATCCGGCCCTGCAATCAGTTTACATACACCTTTGTTTCTTTATAAATTGCTATATTCTTTATAAATTGCATGTCCGAGAATGACGTTTAGCTATAAAATTTTAATTAATTATTAACATTTCAAGCAAAAGTTTTTATTGACCTGAGTGAAGCCGGCTTATCTGTGTGTATCTACTATGCAGATGTACATAATTTATGTACAATATGACAATACATGAAATTTGAAACTTTTTTACCTAACTTTTAAAATCAATAATAAGATGTAATGAAAAATAAATGTTGTTTTTATTAAAATAAAAATAACGAAATTTTTACCTAACTTAATTTAATTTTATTTGTAAACACTCGCCTTTTTACAACATTTTGTTACTTTCTTGTCTACCCAACTCTCATTACAATCTATAAATCATTTTTCCATTATAAAATGGAGTATTTTGGGAATTTGGAAGTGGCAAGCAAACGAAGACTAGCGGCTTGGAACGAACAGAATTAGTTATAAAATAGATATACTTATAAAATAGATATTTTGATAAAAAAGTTGTTTTGTCACCATGAAATTTTTACCGACCACATTACAATGTCTGCCGGTCTGTCGGTGTGTGTGTACGTGTACATCTCAAGTTTGATTCAACCGATTTTAAAGAAACTTTATATGTGTATAAAGTTATTACATATTACAATTGCGTATATATTATTACATATTACATTTACATATATTATATTACATTTTTGCGAATATAGAAAAAGAAAATTAATCAATTTTTTTGATATTTAATATTTAAACTCGATGTTAAAACAATGATTCAGATGAATTTCTTGAAAATAAATATTTCATATTAAAATACTTGGAAATAACTGATGTACTTTTCAGGGAATTCGGATGACACAAAGCGAAACTCTACTAAAAGCCAAATTTACGCTTTTGAAGGAATGTTATCTAAAAGTTCAAAAGCTACTAGTGTCCTTCAAATTGTAAAGAAAGTATTTAAAACGCATTTTCGTAATCTTCGGTAACACTTTCAATAAACTAGACAATAACCATTGTTGTCGGCTATGTGCCACATCAAGTTTTTTTTCTTTTTTCAATTTTTTTTTTATCATGAAAGCTGCAGGCATGTTCTGTAATTTATTGTGTTTTACTATAGAGCTCAAACCAAGATAAAAATTGCTTAATATGCAAATAACTACGAGTTGATAAACCTAATTGTTTTTATAATTTTTTATCAAGTAACTTTACAAGATTATTTTTTGTTTTGATATTATTCCTAAACTTTCCGTAACTTTTTTTATTTTGTATTTGCAGTACTAGAACAACACATCCTGGTGCTGTGGTCGGATTATGTGATAATCCATTAGATGCCAATAAAGTAAGGGCTGAGAAAATATTTTTACTATTATATAAATCAAAATATATAATACTATCGTATTATAATTAAATAATTTTAAATTCTTGAATTTTAAATAGCTTTTAATTGCATTTGAAAGTGGTCAAATAGTACTATGGGATATGAGAGGAAAAACAGCTGAAATGCGTTGGCACTCTGCTGAACCATTAAGGTCTATTGCATGGCATCATGAAGGAAAGCATTTTGTGTCATCACACACGGATGGGTCTTTATGTACATGGCCATTAAGACCATCTCCAAAACCACAGTTCCATAGCTTTCCTCACGGTAGGTTCATTGGAAATATAATTCTGTTAAGATTTATTAAGCTTTCAAACCGGATTCTCTTTTATACCAGTTGATTAATATTCAAAAAAAAAAATTTTTTGTCTAATAAATTTTCTGGGAAAAAAAAATTTAATAAATAAATTCTAAAATTTACAATTTAGTTATATTTATTTCAATTGCAAATATCCATTGTTTTATTATTAAATGATATTTATCCCTTTTATTGTAATATATTCTTGTTTATTTAATTAAATTTAATTACAATGTTTTTTTAGTAAACAAAATTTTTAATAATAAAAAAAATTTTTTACACCTATTTACAGCAAAACCAAATAAAGATGGCAAAGTGGAGGCTTGTAAACCAATTCATAAAGTGGATTTAAGGACGGCTAGATCTGGGTAAGTTCATATCCATACAAAAATACTTGTCGAGTTTCTCATTTCTGTTTAAATTTTATAATGTAATACAACTTTTATTTAAAATATTTTTATTGTTCAAAAGTTACAGAGTTTCTTCTAACATTTTGTGTGACTGAAAAAAGATTAGGCTAGGAAGTTTCTTTCTCTGTATATTTATATTTGAAATATACCGTGACTTCAATAATGCTTTAAAAAAGATTTAAGTACGGTATTAATACGGTATTAGTACCGTCTCAGAGCTTTTAATACCTTTACATTGTAAAAAAAACTACTAAAGCTTTTGATACATTTTGGAATACAATTTTTACCTACGTACATAAATATAGGTATAAAAATAATTGAATGTGTGTGTAGTATTAGAATTTTCGATACAGGCAATAAAATACTGAACTACTTTCAGCTAAGTTGAAATACTTTAAAAACATATTTAGTTCATTGCTGTGATATTCTGTTAAAATTTCTTAGAGGCTATTTAGTTTGAAATTCTGAAAGTACTGCTCGGAAAAATATTTTTAACTATTATTTCCCTATGACGATAATACAACTGAGTCAGGAAGTGCAGATGAGAATCCCAAATCACACAATTCTAATTTTTCAGCATTAAAAAGTAGTCGTAGTCTTTACAGTTTTTGTTCGAATAAATTTTGGAAAATGAAGCATAAAATCTCACTAAGATCTGAGAATAAAATGTCTTAACAAATATAATGTCAACTTCTTCAAAAAAGTATAGGAAAATAATAATAAAATTTAGAAAATAAATTTATTTCTAAGACCCCTTAATTAGTAGTAAAATTAAATGCTTTGTTTGGTACATTTTTTTCAATGTTTGTGCCTATTACATATTAAAATAATAAATATTTCTTCCCATTTATAGTGATACTTTTACAATTTTTTCTGGCGGGTTGTCAATGGAAAAAGGTGGAAAGTCGCCATGTATAACAGTATTAAATGGTAGATCTACTACAGTTTTAGAAATGGAACATCCAGTGGTGGATTTTGTAACAATGTGTGAAACTCCTTGGCCAAGTGGTAAAAATTGTTGTCTTTCTAAAGTTTTCAGACTTAAGTTTTTTAAGAATATTTTCTTTTGCAGATATGCAAGAACCATACGCAATAGCCGTGTTATTACAAAATGATTTAGTTATAATAGATTTATTAACACCCGGTTTTCCCTGTTTTGAATCGCCTTATCCTATGGATTTACATGAATCACCTGTTACATGCTGCACATATTTAGCCGATTGTCAATCAGATTTAGTTCCAGCTTTTTATTCGGTTGGTCGCACATCAACTAGTCGTAAAACGGGCTTCTCTGATCGTGAATGGCCTGTATCAGGCGGTGAATGGTCACCAGCATCTTGTAGTTATTCTGAAATTGTTATAACCGGCCATCAAGATGGCTCCGTAAAATTTTGGGATGCTAGTGCCGGTTCATTGCAAGTTTTATATAAATTAAGAACTGGAAAACTTTTTGAAAGGCCACGAGCCCGTTCAGTTGATAGTAGCGACGAGGATCCATTAGCTGTACATATTGTTTGCTTATGTGCTGAAACTAGAAGGTTGTGTATTGCTGGTGCTAGTGGTCATGTGATTTTATTTAAATTTAAAAAAACTGAGAGTTCATCAGAAATTTTGGTATTGGAAATACCAATATCATATGAAAGTTTCGAAGAAGGTGATGTTAGCCCGGAGTGTGAATTTGTACCACGAGCAGCCCCAAAAGTCCCGGATGCCATTGATAATGAAAAAAAGGTTATAATTTATGCTAAAATAAATAGTATTGTTACACAGTTATGCTCTATGTTGATAAATAAAATTTTCAAATTACAGAATGATGGTATGCTAAAGGTTAGACCCGGACCACAAAGAAAACCTCCGGGTTTTCAAGCACAACTAGTATGTTTGACGCCTTGGACAACGGGTAGCCATCCAGGGCAAATAACATCACTATCAATTAATTCTAGTTATGGACTGTAAGTTACCATGTAGCTGATTTCTGACAGAATATTTATATCAGCTTTGGAATTAGGGTTGTCAATTTTTTTTTTTACAAAATGTATAATTTTAAATATTTTAAGGTAGACCATAAACCCTAAAAGCTATTTGTTTTTCGCTTTATTTAGAAAGATTAATTAACACTTTTTATTGAACACAAATAAATTTATTTTTATCGAAAACTATAGAATGGCCTATGGCAATGAATATGGTATTGCTGTTGTTGATATTATACAAAAAGTTTGTCTTCTAAATGTGGCTAGTCCCGATTTATATGGGGCTCAAGATCCTTACTCAAGGGTACCCAAGAGCCCAAAACGTAGTGATAATAACAAAGACGAGCAAGCTCGTTCTCCTAGCATAGATCAGGTAAGTTAATTTATGTTTCAATAAATGAGTTCTCTAACAATTAAAAAATAATGTTTACATGATCCTTATTATTCCAAACTTAATTTCTTATTTCGTCTTATTTAAAAGATAATTTATTTTAGTTTTTATTTTGAGATTTAAAGTATGTAGGTTTTTGCTAATAAATATTTTTTTTAAATTTTAATTTTGAACAATGATATACGTTTTAAAATTTTCTTTCGACTTATTTGAAATTTTGATTTAAAAGGTTTCTGAATTTTTATTTTGAATTTTTAGAATTGGTAGCACTTTTTTTATTTAATACATATAAACATAGCTTTGCGGACTATAAATACATATAAGTTTACAAAGCATTCATTAAATAATTTCAATGTTTAAAAATATATACATAATGCAATTTAAAAAGGCAAGCATCTCTTTAATTCTTTTATTTGATTTTTTAAAGTTTTACATATATTTTTTCAATTATTTCGAAACTCGAAACTCAAATATATACGTAATTGCAAACAATTATTTGTCTACGATAATTTGAACTTGAGTTTTTTCTTGCTAAATTTGAATTTGAACAACGGGAAATTATATAAAATTCAAATGATGTGCTACCAACATCGTTTTAAATGAAATATTGAATGAAAATAATTGAAATATTTTCTTAATTTTTTATTAACTAAAACAACATATTTTAGTTTTTTACTTTTAATGTTTTTGTTCGAAATTGAATTAAATTCAAATTTTTGATTTTCTTATTTTATTGTTAAATGAAAAAAAAAATTAATGAAGTAGATTAAAAGCACTAAAAGCAAAGTCATAGCATACCAGAAGGAAATCATCCAATAAAAAAAAAGAGCTCAATTATGGAAATCGATTTGTACTAATTCAAAATATTTTACTAGTAAAATTTTATACTGGCTGAATTTTTTATTATACAATAATATTTTGGGATGCGTAATCATCCAAGTGCATAAATTTTAATTTTGGAATTTGTTTCTTTTGGTCGTATATATAGAGGAAATATTTTGATTAAGAACAAATGAATTTCCATAATTTCGTTTATAAATTGTTTATCTTAATAATCATATAGAAATTAAATTTCAATAATTCAAAAAATTCCGGAATAAAACAATTAATTTAATTTTGGAAATTATACACAATTTATATCTCGTTAAACAAAACTATGAAAACACTTTAATGATAGGTAATAAAATGTTACTTTCCATTTCATAAGAAATGGAACAATATTCTAAAACAATAAAAGTTGATTGTAAAAGAAAATTATTTCAGTTTAAACAAAAGTTCTTTAGTATTTCGATTACTAACGCAAATTTCTATTTTTACTTCATATAAGAATTTACTTAAAAATATATATTAATTGTAAATGTTTTTGTCATTAATTGCGTATAATGGCGTTTGTCAGTAATTCTCTAAATTCAATATTGTTTCAAAATTAATAAAAACTTATTCAAATAAAACCCAAGCAGTTTCAAGCACTATTTAAGTAACAAAAATATTTTAAGATTGTAAAACATAAATATTATGAATAAAAACATTAGCTATATTGGTCAACGCTAGAGCAAATATCTTAGCTAAGTTTTCCATATTATAAATTTGGATAGTATGCTTGCTAATTGTGTCTTGTGATTTATACAAATCTTTCAATTTGTAAATATTCTGTTTTCTATTAGAACATGATCACTACATACATATCTAGCAAAAAAAGTTATGAATGCAGTATCACTTAAAATTTTAAACGCTTTCTGATTTCCAGAAAAAAAAAATTAGTTTTTTCAACTTTGAACCAGTTGCTTCAAAAATTTTTCTATTCAAAGTTAAAAATCAACAGCTATTTCTAAGATCATAAAATTTCGAGATCATAAAATTTTCTAAGAAAGCTTTGAAGAAAGCATTCTATTTTTTTACTGTTTCGTTTTAAGTTGAAAATGAAACATCTTCGCATATTCATTTCTACATTTCATATTTAATTCTTTTTGTAGATTATACTCATATAAGTGAAACGTTTTATATCATTCAGTACTAAATAAGAGAACTTATTCAGTTCTGATAGATACTAACTGTAATAAGTAAAAGTGTTAAATTAAACTACCTAATATTTAGTAGCAACATTTTAAAATGTTACCTTTTAAAATAATTTTCACTAAATTTTCTTCACTAAAACATTAAGTAAAACAAAAATAACACAAAATAAATTGAACTGTGTATAGCTCGAAAGAAGAAAAATGTAGATATCATGTTCTGACAGAAAATCCTAGAAATATATCTACATACAACAATTTTGGAGTAAAAATTGTTTTTGCAATTTAATAAGTATATATTTTGTTAAATTATCTATTTTATTGATTGATTGGAATCTCCTTACAGAAAAGTTTTCTTATACTCATAATCAAAATCGCACATGTAACTTTATAATTTATTTTTTTATAATTATTGGTATTCCAAGGAACAAAGTAGGTATTTAAAGTATTCAAAACACTCGCGCGCAATATTTATTATTTTTATTTTAATTTAAATTCAGCATCATTCAACTATTTATTTTCAATAATAAGAAAAAATGCTTTTTTAGTAGTTTTGTTAAGAAATATAAGGTTGACGTAATTCAGATATTAAGTTTTAACTTTTACTTTAGACGATTTTTCAAAGTTTGGAATCTATAATTAGTAGAAACTTGCGTATTATTCTGTTTATTTTAATTTTTGCTACTTTTAAATGAGTTGAATCACTATAAAGCATTTTTAAACAGTTCACTTTATGTAGCTCTGCAAATTATTTTTAAAATCAGAGTTAAAAAAAAACACCAAAAAATTTGAGAAATCTGCTTTATGTTAAATTCTATCTGGAAAATTAAAAAAAACTGATCAAATGATTTAAAAAATTGGAGTAAAGTAATTTTAATTTAAATTTTTTGGGAAATAGAATTTGTAAACAAAATTAATCAGAATACGTGTTACAAGTAGAGAAAAAAGGCGCAAATCATATATTTACATTAGATTTGTGGCATCAATAAGTGCTTCAAATTTTTTAAGCGTTTCAACATCATTCTTAATATTCTAGAATTTTTATACTTAGTGAACCATCTTATTGGAAGAGATAAATAGACTCTACCTTAAATCAATTAAAGATTTATATCAATTATAAACTCGATAGTATAGAATTTGAAATATTCATGAAAATATTTTTAGACTTCAAGTTTCCACTGAAATAGCAAAATTGCATATAAAAACTTAAAAAATTTACTATTAGAAACATGTTATCCCAGTATAAAGCACATCTCGATTTTTCATATATTAATAAAAATATTGTAGAGAAATTTCTAAAGTCTAGTTTAGATACAATGCACGTTTTTTATAAAACAAAACTTCAAATAACCGCATGACTTCACATATTTAGTTTGACAACTTATTATCAGCAAGCCCACAAAAAGTGCCCCTTACAACACAAACATCTGTTACAACAACAGCTACGAACTCATCGACAAATGTAACAAGTGTTACTTCTTTGCAACCGTCCTCTTCCTCAATAATACCTCAATTAGAGACAATAGCTGCAACACCAATAGAGAATCCCGTAGATCCCTCAACCAGCGGAATATGTGTGCTTTCAACATCACCTCCTTTACAATTTCAAGGTGTGACCTCACCTCGCCCAGTGTCACCTGCTGCGGAAGTATTTGAAACGGTTACTCCTCAATATAGTCCTTGCGCTGAAGAACAATTAGATGACCAGCCAGCTGTTGGGCAATGTCGTCGGAAGTCTTCAGTTTGGAAAAACATCAATTTAAAACGTCGTTTTTCTAAGGTAAAAACATGTAAGGCTGTATCTACAGAATCTCCGGTAGGATTTCCAATTAAACAAGCCGGTGGGTCCAAATTTTACTATGGAGTAGTGGAAGGAACGCCACTGTCACCAATTGAAATATCGCCAGATACACCACCGAAATCACCAAGTAGCCAGCCAAAGTGTGAGTCACCAACCCCAATTCAAACCCCAACTGAAAGTGACCTAGATAAAGTAGATTATTTGTTTGATCTAGAAAATGAAAACAGTTTAGCTCAATTAGAAGTTAAGCCCGATCAATCGTTAGAAACAACTTTAGAGCAACAACATCAAACAAAAACAGCAACGAATAGTAGTTCAGATACATCGGAAGCAACCAGCTTAACGCCATCACAGTCAAATTCCGACCAAAATATTGCGCAAAATATCACTATTCAACAAAAAATTATTCCTGGGTCAGTGCAATGTCAACAGGCAGCAAAAATTCGTGGTAAAAAGGAACGAACAATGTCACAACCATATTTTTCAAAACGATATGAATATGGAGAAGAACATCAAGTTCTTGCTAAGTCAATTTCAAATACCGAAGGTTCCAAATTATCTCGGCCATCTGATTTACCATTATTTGATCAATACGGTGAGGGAAATGAGTATAACAACAAACCATCAGTCCCGCCTCGTATAAAAAAAAAAGATAAGCGTGAACAACGTTTGAGATCGGTGCCAAATATTAAATATGCTGTTAGAGACTTACGCGGGCGTACTGAAAAACAAGATCCAACATCTTCATTCGCGGGAAATTTAATGAGAAGACTCAGTAAGTATTAACTCCATCTTCATAATAAGTATAATTAAGTAAATATGTATGCGCTTTTACTGTAAGTAGCTAACCATTCTTTGATATTAACACTCTAAAATGTTAACCTGCTGCAAGTTTTTTGTGCGACAAAAATTAGTGCACTGATATTCAATAGAAACAATTTTATTGAATAAATACGATGGAAGAAAGGATTTGAATTTAAAAAGATGTTAAAATACAAAAAGTTTTTGTGAAACCAAAATTCATTTCATAATATTTTTATAGTTGAAGTATTTACGCCTGGCTAAATTTAGATTCCCATAAATTCTTTGAATTAAAGTTTATTTACTTAAAAGTTCCTAAATTAAGGTATATAATAATTTTATTTTTTCAGAATACATTTGTTTCATATAACTAAAAACATTTTTGTGTCAATTTATATTTTTTATTTATTTATTCGCCGTGAAATTTTAGATGAAGTCTTGTAAGATTCAAAAAATTTAAAATTTGATAAAATTAAAAGTTTCTGATAATAATAATAAATGCTTGCCAATATTCTAGAACAATTAGTATACATACATATGTATATGTAATGCAAAAAATCATAATTCGCGTGTATGAACAATATGGTTGAATATTAATTTCAATGCATATATGAACAATATTTGCATTAAAAACAAATCAGTTTTTTTGTGACATAAATTTGTGACATAGTCAGAATAAAATTTATGCTCATTATTTAGGTCACTGAGAAAGTAAACGCACCTACATAAAATATTTTTGTAACTTATAAAATGCCCGAACAAATTGATTCTTATTTTACGATGCCATAATTTATGAAACCAAAACGTGGTTTTTGATCTAGTATGTTTTCCAACATATTACGTTATGTCTTCAAAGATTTTTGCAATTTTTAAAAATCTTAAAAAAATGTTTCTTTTTCAAATGATCTAATCATTATCAAAATTAAATAGGTGAAAAGTGATGAGTGAAGTAGGATCTTTTGCGAAAATATGGAACTTATCCAAAACCTAACCAAAAAAAAACTAGAAAATAATCGTTTGTTCTTTGAAATCGGACTTCATTAAAATTAGCAAAATTAATACGTCAATATTGCACCATTCACGTTATTTTAATGCCAACTTAATAAAAGATAACTGAAATTTCACGATAAACGTTTAAACTTTTTTTTTATCTTTTAAACATTTTTATTAATTTTGAATAAATTTATTATAATTTGTCTTTTTGTTTTCAATTTCAAATTCAAATTTAAAAATTTTATATTTTTTATAAGATACCGTAAATAAATTTACGGAAATTAAAATTAAGTAATATTAGTAGAAAATATCCATAGTAGATCCCTTGCGAAACGTAGAACTTTTTTTTATTTAATTAATATTATATTAAATTAAAATTTAATTAATTAATTTGCGTTATTAGAAATTTAAGTAAGTCATAGTACATAACTTATTATTTTCATTATTGAAAATACATTTTTCAACTTAAATGTAATTAATAGTAGTACTGTAGTGGTACTTTAGAGATTTAAAAAAAAATCAAGTAAAAGTTTATTTACATAAAAATCTAGTTGTTAGAATTTCAAAATCATTTTCACAATTTCAAATTAAAAAACAAGTATTTATAATAAAAAAATGATTTTAACAAGTTTGTTAATATAATTATCATTATGCTAGTGCAATTTTGTTGAAAATGGTTTTGGATTTTTTTGTATTTTTGACTTTATATTAATTAATTTAGCTTAATAGAGAATATTTGCATTAAAATGGAAACTAATTTAGAAAAGAAAAAATTATTTCCCAAAATTTAAGTAAATAAACGCTGTATTTATTTTGGCAATCTAAAAATTTAAAAATTAAAGAAAAAAATGAAATTTTAACTTCAGTAAGTATTATTATTTATATATTACTTCATATAGATAAATATTTAACTTAATTGAAATTGTATAATTATAGAGTTATAGTAGAAATCATCATATATTTTGTATGTATTTGTATATTTATACATACATATACAATTATTATCTGTCAATATACACATGCATATAAGTTTTTATATTAATCACATTATTAAATAATTTAATTGAGAGAAAAATGCAAGTTACTTATATTTGAATGTTATTTTTCTTTGGTTACGTCTTATGTAAAAAGAAAAAATTGAGTATTACAGATATTATAGTATAAATTATGAACATATATAATATAAATTATAAACATATAAAATTGATTGTTACAAAAAAGCTGTACTATTAAATTGTAATTGTTTTTTTTAAATACAGAAAGCTATAACACTTACATTACATATCGTTGGGAGAATTTTCCATTACTTGGAGAAGAATAGTTCCACTAAACTTTTTACAATATTTTTCACCTTGTTCAAAATTATCACAATTTTTTTCTGTGCACTTACTTTCATCATTTATTTGTTTCTTTTTTCTAAAAAATTGCATTAGCAATTATTATTTTCAAACTTGTCACTAAAACTGATTTCATTACTTTACTAATAATATTTTTTTCATTTCGGTTATAAATCAACTATTTTTTTTTTAATTTAAACGCACATGTACACACATTATTTTCATTTTTAAATTCAAAAGTATAAAACAACAATTAAAATATTTCATTATAAAATTATTTAGTAAAAATGAATGCCTATATGTCGAGGCTGCTGCTGCCGGTACATCTGGTATTCTAAAAAAAAATACACAGTTTTATTCAAATGAACAAAGTTTTTATTAATTCATATATAATTGTTAATTAAGACAGTTCTTTTTCCTATCCACGACTTTAAAAAGTAATTCATTCACTGACTTAAAGAATTACGAATTCATAAAAAATTATTGTATATTTATTTAATTATATAATGATAATAACATGATGTATGAATATTTTATTTATACTTGCTATATGTATATGTAACTAATAAAAAAGGAACGTTAACCAAAAAATTTTTTAAAAGACCATAATTTTTTTCGCAACATCTTTTCTTATGAATGTATAAAAGAAGTTAATATATCTTCACATCTTATACTATCTTATATCAGGCAAATTTTCGAAAAGGATTTTTTTTGGAATTACTTGTTCCAATTCGTTTAGATTTAATGCTAAAACGTTCCACAGAAAAAATTACAATCACGACTAAACAGAACCTTAAAAGTTGATAAAGCTGTTATGCGCCTAGTAAACGAAAGAATTTTTGTAAGAAATCGGGTTTCCATGAAATTTTGCATAATATTTCAATGATTATGAAGTGGTCATAGAAATAGAAAAGTTAGCAATACATCTCGCTTTAATCGTACAAAGGAAACTTCGTTAACGTGAACGTTTTAAGTATGGCATATCATGATTTTTTCATTATTGTTTGCGATACAAAGTATTTGTACAATTATTCTATAAATAAAAAAAATTCACAGCATAAAATATTTAGCTTTATGTATTTAGCTTTTAGGAAAATTCAATAATATTGGGACTTAAAATTCATAAAGTATTTACATTATCTTACTAAAAATCAAAAAAATTTAGATTGTTCTAAATTTTTTGAATAGCTGGTAATTATACAATTGTCTGAAAACATATAATCAATCAATAGCATAGGAAATAAATTTGGCATATATTAACAAGTAATTTGTGTTATCAACCATAGTAAAATCTTGAATCATATTTATTTGAGGATGTTAATGAAAGACATTTATTTACATATAATACATAGATTTGTAAATAATATTTTGTATTGATTTTAGAACAAAACTATATATTTAATAGAATAATAACGCACTATAAAACCATTTCATGAAGAAAGGACATTTTTTGATAAACCAGTTAGGGTGTCAAACATGGTTCATAAATAGGTACCATACTTGAAGAATGTTCGTCGTATTTCATCAAAATTTAGTTGTAAATATTTTGATCCAAGTTTTTACTAAATAACTTTATTTATACATCGACTTCCATATATACTTATATCTGAATTAGTTCCTCTAACGAATGTTAAAAATTACCCAATTTTGCATGTTGTACTACATTATAAATTTTTAAATCAAGTAAAATTTTAATTATGTAAAAGGCTAATTATGTTTATTAAAGTCACGTGGTAACTTAAAAACATGGAAAATTTTAAAAAGTGTTTCATAAATAGCTTAAAAGTGCTGAAATATAAAAATTTAATGTTTCTTATTAATTATATTACTTATGTAAAAAAATTTACTTCTGGTGATGGTTTGACTTAAAAAATAAATATAGAAAATCAATATTTTCAAATACACTAAAATACTGAAAATCTTTTGTTTAAAATTTTTTTTACTTTTATTTTATTTTTGTAAACCATATTATTGCAATTTATAAGACAAATAATATGATTAAAAAGTTGTGTTCAATTATTTTAAACAATTCATTTTAGGAATTTGTGCTTTTGGTAGAGTGGTATACTAAAATGTAACTATGTTTTTTTAAAATTACTCTAAAAACTTAAAGCTAGTAAAGTTACACCACTCTAATTAAAATAATAAAATCTTCAGATAAGTTCTTTAAAAGGCAATCATAGTTTAATACTTTGTTTGGCATATGTTGTCGAACAGCTTTGTTTTTTTTTGTAGCAGAATGCATGTGTACATATAAATATGAAATTATGAATTTTATAATAACACAAAATTTCGGTAACAGTAGCTAAGGATTTAAAATTGAAAGACGCAATATATTCACTGTAATAATATGACGTTGTAATTAAAAAATAAAGTTAAATTGAAAACTGCTTTTGGTATGTTTATATGTATAATTGAACACAATGCTTGTAAATATTGATTTGCTTTTAATGTTTAATATTTATCACATACATATGTGTATTTTTTTTAATTTATTGCTTTATTATTTTTAAAAACATTTCATTTAAAAATATGACATAACTAATAATATAATTTTTTTTATTTGTAGTATAGTAATTTTTTTTTCAAATTACTTATTATTCCACTAAATATTTTCTTAAATTACTAAATATCGTGAATTTTA